AGGAGCACTGTTCTAGTTTTGTTAAAGCTAATCCCATTTGTGGTATATTCCAGTCAGAGTGGACTAGGTAACCAGAACAAATACAGTAGTTTGTGAGCATATATGGAGCATTCAGGAGCTCTGGTGGCATAGTGGAGAAGGCATCTGGCTGCTAACCAGAAGATTGGCAGTTCACACCCACCAGCCGCTCTGCGGAGGGAAGATGGTGCGATCTAGTTCCGTAAAGATTTACAGCCTTGGAAATCCAATGGGAGTCTCTATGAGTCAGAATCAACTCGATGGCAGTGAGTTTGGTTTTGGTTTGGTTTGGTTTCTAAACATGCATTTTATGTTTTTTACTGAAAAAAATAATTTTGCTACTGTTTCGTGGCTTTTTTTTCCAGATACTGTCAGAAAAATTGTACAAAAGAAGTTTGACCCCATGGAGGATTATACAGAGGTAATTTTTTATCAATGTGTATGTTATTTCAAAAAAGTATGAGGAAAATTTTGACTTGAAAGTAAATCCTTAAACACCCAGTTATGTAATCTGTGATTTTTGTAATCTTTTTTGGTTAAACTTTCGTGCAATAGGAATACTGTATAGATCCCATTTGAATGACAGCAGAGATTTCAAGAGTAGAGTTTGAAGCAACATTACACTTTCAGACTATATGTTATGAAAAACCAAAATTTCCTGAAAAGAATTACTTTTTTAGCTAAAGGAAGAGGTGTCCATATCTGAATAGAACTGTTTGAGAATCCCAGCAAGTGTGAGTGTGTGCTTAAGAGAGCGTTTGCTAGAAAGTAACTTTACACACAAACAGTGACCACTGAGCACCTCCTGTGTCCATGACCCAGTGCGTGGTGGCGTAAATGGTTAAGTGCTCAATTTCTAACTAGAAGGTTGGTAGTTTGAATCCACCCAAGAAGCATGAGCTCGGAATAAAGCTCTGGTGATCTGAAAAATCAGCCACTGAAACCCGAGGAGCACAGTGCTAGTCTTCAACATGCAGAGTCACCCTGAGTTGGAATCAACTTGATGGTAGACTTTTATTATTTTGCTTTATGCATGTGGCACTTGGCTGGGTATGGAAGAGATGGGGAGGTGAGTAAGGTAGTCCCTGGATGTTGCAAAGTGTTAACATGCTCGGCTGTCCATAGAAAGGTTGACGGTTTGAGTCCACCCCGAAGTGCCTCAGAAGAAAGTCCTGGTGATGTACCTCCAAGAAATCACCCACTAAAAACCCTATGGAGCACGGTTCTACTCTGACTCATGTGGGGTCGCCATGACTTGGAGTCAACTCAGCGGCCAATGGTTTGAAGATGGTCCTTGATCTCAAGCTGCTAAGAGCCAGATGGCAAAGACGGGACCTAATTATCTAAGGAGAAGAAGGAAATAGGTTTTCTTGTGTGGGACATAGGGTCACTATGACTCAGGGGCTCCTAACCACCACGCCCTAACCCTAACCCCAACCCACCACCACTGCCACCACGGTGATACAGCTTATGTGTAATATGGATTACATGATTACATGAGGGGTGTGGAGAAACAGTGTTAATTCTGACCGGAAGCTTTTTAGAGAAGAGGTGGCTTTTGGCTTGTTGTAAAGGTTAGGCAGGGTCAGAACAGGTGGGGAGGTTGCTCTCCTGGGCCGCGCGGATGCTGAAACTATGTTAGCAAAGGCAAGAAGGTAGGAAGGGAGTGAACCTGTGACCGTGACTGGAGCAGGTGGGTGAGGGGGGTGAGGAAGAAAGTAAGTTGGGGCCAGACCATGGGGGGAGGGCTTGAACACTTGGCTAAGGTGAGTGGACAGTATGTTTGGAAAATGTCAAGGCATGTCTTTGCTTAACGCCCAAGGCATTGCTAATTTTCCCACTTTGGTTCTGTAAGTTGTTATTTAAACCAAACTGTGTTCCTTTCATTTTGGTTGATTAAGGGTGTGGGTTGCCAGTGAAACAAACAGTCCCACATTTGCTGCATTGAATGTGGGATAATAAAGAACAGTTAAGTCTCTTTGTCATGATGTTTTCCTGCAGGGTAAGGCCCTGTGGTTTTTTCCTTTCCTGATGAGAAGATGGTTATCAAGATAACATTAAAAGCAGACTATCAGGTGGGGACATTCATTCATGACCAGCTGGGATCTGACTTGGAATGTTCCAGTGAGTGTCCGGTGTGGGGTGAGGCAGTTAACCCTTTCCCAGTGGGTAGTAAGCTCAGATACTGTGTTACTAATGGTATCATCACACTTTCAATCTGCAATAAAATGATACTCAAGGGAAAGTAAGCATGGAAGCCACCAAGGAAAGCCCTACCTAACACAGGGTGGTTGTTGTTGTTGTTGCCATCTGTGTAGTCCATTCAAATTGTGGGTAACATTGAGAAGAATGGGAATTCCAGAACACTTAACTGCACTCATGAGGAACCTGTACACAGACCAGGAGGGTGTCATTCGAACAGAACAAGGGGACACTGTATGGTTTAAAATCAGGAAGAGAGTGCATCAGGGTTGTATCCTTTCCCCATACCTACTCAACTTGTATGCTGAGCAAGTAATCCAAAAGCTGGACCATAGGAAGAAGAA